TAATGTTCGGCTCCGCCCGAACTTAGACTTTCTTACTTGTTTTTGTCTGTCTTTTTTTATACAAATCCTATGATGGTCATACGTTCCAAACAGCTGGATAATTCTATAAAGTTGTTTTCCTTTTTGCCGGAAATCAGCACACAGGCTGCATACCGCCTATTGTACAGTTTCATGCTCCTTTTAATCTGTTTTAAATCTACTTAATTTACCAATAAATTGAAGCAGATTGTTGAATGTAAAAGAGCTACATTTTATGTTACCAGGCTAGTCTGATCTACGTGTTTTGTGCAAATAAATCTATGTTATTTCACATTCTGACAGAATGTTTCGCTTAAACATTTTTAGCTTCTTCATGGGCAATTCCATTTTATTGAATAAATTGCTGAACACCTAAATTTACGAATCTATACCACCTTTAGTGGTAGCTTTCTCAATACCGAAAAATATGTAAAAGAGCTCAGTTTTTCGCCTCTCAACACATCGCAGTCAATCTCTCACACATCAGCGTAAATAGTTCTAACTTTGTCCAACCTTCTTGAGTTTGAGCTCACTCCATCAGTGCAAAAATGGAGTCAGAGCTTAAGCTCACTTTTTATGCATGAGGCCCAATGACTCCATAAACTGCTTTGAGGAATATTAAAATTAACTCTTTCAAGGAGGGAATTAATCGACCCGGAAATTAGATCAACAACAAAAGCGATGGAAAGAATTATCCCTCTACTATGTAATGATTTGAGATTAATGAGCATACTTACACCTACTGCGGTAAGAAGGAATCGGATCGGTGAAGTGAAGAGATCATAAGGCATATATCGAATTGAAATCTTTCGGACTCGTTGAAGCCTATGGTATGCTCTAAAAAAAAGCTGCGAATTCCACTTTTGATTGAACAAGGGAAGTATATAACAACTTTATTAAGTTTACGGGTCAGAAAAGTCTGAAATGAAGCGTCAAATGAAAGCAAGAATAGAATAGTACTTAGCAATGGCGTAATCAAGATGGCTATGAAACAACCAATTAACGAAAAAAATGTACGACGTTAAACACTGTGAATATTGTTTAAATTAAATGTATGCTATTTACTTGAGCACCACTGCACATTAGGTTGGCCCAAAATGCATGTGAAAAACTTCTCAAATGAAGTAAATTTTTCGTAATATTAAGGAAAACAGTAACTCTAATATAAGGGTACTGTTTTCTTGTTTAAAGGAAATGCTTTCTTCTGAGTGTAGATGCATTTATGCATCAAAAATCAAATTTTACAAAAAAATATCGCTTACATATTTTCAGCTGGCTGTTAGGGCTCGATATGCAATGTACACGTACCTATCCACTTTTACTCAGTATGTCTTCTCTCACTCCTCCCTCACACACACTCACATACATTTGTATTAACTATTTTTCTTTCTTCCTTCTACAGAGTCCCAAATACGCGCCACCTATTGAATTTGTCGATGAGGCCGCACTCAGTCCGCCCGATGGCTACAAGGACAATGGCTTAAAGAATACCCTCGGTGGCGCGCTAAGCGGTCACATCTTTGGCGCCCAACACATCCAACAGCTACAGGTCATCCAGAGATTGCAGCAGCAAAGGGCCGCCATGCTGGCTGCACGCAATAATAATCAAATTCCGCCGCCGCCGCCACCAGTTGGCAGTGCAGCACTCAGTCAGCACCATCAGCAGCAGCATCAGCAACAACAGCAGCAGCAACAAGCAGGGCAGCAAGCGCAACAACAACAACACCAGCAATTACAGCAACAACATTCGCCAGACGATGACTCGCTGGGCGTTTGCACTGAGTGCGCCGAGTGTGCCGAGTGTGCTGCCAAGCAGCTCCAGGATACAGGTAAAAATTATGCAGACATTGTTAGCTTTTAAACCCACTTTGCATGTACTTCAGCCAACACAATTCTTGTGCTTATCGTACTTCTACTTATTATGTGTTGTTGCTGTTGTTGTTGTTGTTATTTGCTCGAACACCTGTAAACCGAAACGTGTTTATGCCGTCGAAAATCACCGGATGTTATGCACACGAGCATCGCAATGAGTGCCGTGCGGGTCGCAATGAGAGGGTGCGGGGCGGAGGGCTGGTTGGTATGGGCGTGGGGGGCGGTTGCGGTAATGGAAGTATGTATGTGGTTGAATTAGGAGCTTGTGGTGACAATGCAATTAGTCTGACTACACTGACAGTCGACTTTGTTGTTGGCGTTGGTAACTTATGATGTGGCACTGGCTGGCAGTCGGCTGTGTCCGCAGGGTTAGCATTGAGTCGTTCAAACTGGGTTGTGATTAGGCTGCGCTGGCTGAGTCTGTTGGATCAACCATACCTGCAGCTGTGCTTATGGGCTGCTGCACTTCCTCTCTAAATGCTGTCAAGGGACTGCCTGCTGTTTGCACGGGCCGAGGTGAATGCACCGGTCGGTCGGTATTTCAATTAATTGTAAATTATGTGGTTAAGTTTGGTTTTGTTTTTTTT